AACGTCGCCGACATCGACCCGGCCGAGCTGCATGGAACAACTCGACCTCCCGATGTATCATCTGGCGGCGGGGGTGCTGTTGTGCCTCGCCCAAGTTCCACGTGGTCTTCGCGGCCTGCTGGCACCTGGCAGCTGTTGATGAGTCAACCCTGCACCGGGACGGCGACGGACGCGGACAATCGGGAAAAACCACGTCGCCGGCTCCTCTTGACACAAAAGTCGTTGGCCAAGCTTTTGTCAGCCGCCGAGAGCAACACTCCGAAGCAGCATCGACCCAGCAGCTGTACGGGGTATTCTGCCTTGCTTGAGTCAACCTGGCTGCATCAGGGAGCGACTATGCGCATGGGATTCCACGTCATCTCACTGTGGTGCCACGCTGGCGCGTGGGGTCTCCCTCACCAAACAGCGAACTGGGCATGCCTTGCCCCCTTTCCTAGGTTCAGAGGGAGGCGGTGTTTGGCTTTCCCTCTTCGGGGACGGAGAGGAAGACGACGATCTCATTGGAGTATCCTGCGCATAAATTTTCTTTGCAAGGGATCTTGGGAAGGCGGACGATGTATAAAAACGCTAGCGCAGAGGCGCTCGTGTGTGATTCTCTTTTCATGTTGTACCACGCTACCATGTAAATACTGTATATAAACATTTTTTTCTCCTTCTCCGGCTTCTCTACTCGTCCTCTCCGGGGACTCGGATGGCCCGAGTCCGCACCACGCTACCCAAAGGCGCAACAGCGGCGTCTCGCCATCACCTCCTCGTTGATAACAGGGTCTCCCGTCCTCGACATCTAGGCGAGCTCTCCGCGAACACAGGCAAGGGAGCGAGTGATGGTCGAAGGGGAGGAGGGGGGAGTTCGTTCACGCCACGCAATCACCTCCGCTCGAGACGCAGCCTTTGTTCAGCCGAGTCGAGCACCGGACGACCAAGGTTAGGGGGCGCGAGGGCAGCCAGATATAAAGGCGGAGCAGGGAAAAATAATAAAAAAGAATGGCCCCATCCTTGCTCTGAAGCGAAGCGCGTGCAGGGTCCGGAGACCAAGGTGGATGGTAGTTTGGGCTGAAAAGAAGGAACGGGAGGGGACACCAAAGAGCGCCCGCCCGGGGCGGAGACTGTGGTTGAATCTCCAGAGACCAGTGTTCTTTTTAAAAGAAGCACCCTCTGCCTAAAAAAAGCGTCGCTTTCATCGCAGAGTTGAGGGCAGGCGCTCGCTGGTTGTTACGCAGTTGCAGGGTGCGCGAGTTCTGAAGAGCTGGCCGCAGGCCACCTGCCGGCAGCCGCGAGTGGAGAAAAGAAGCAACCAAGCAGTAGACGAAAAGGGGAAAAAAGAAATCACGGGTGTCGGTGGAAAGAAAACAAGAGGGCGCCGCGGATATGCGGGCCTGGAAGTAATGAGGCGAAGCAGCCCGCACTATACAGCGCTGGTCGCTTATATGCAGCAACACATAAGTGCATAAAACGGACGTTAATGAAAATAAGCCGATCTTTAGTTCAACCTAGTACTCGTACAACCTTCCAACTAGCCGTGAATGGAGAACACATACCATCGCCCTACCCGCCTACTCGAGTCGTGGCACATGTATCGAAGAACCGCACACAAGGGCTCGTTCGCTTGCAAGAGAGCACTCCAAACCAAAAACGGCGCGCCGATATAATCGGTACGTCCGGTTTGTGTTCTACACGCCTCAAGGACCTCACTGCTGGCGGCAAATTGAATGTCCACGCACATGTGACTGTGTATTTGGAACACGAAACGTTATGCGACTGAACGAAAAAAAAAAATATATCGGAGTGCGATTACCCAACGCCATCGAGTCATACACGCCCCGACCACTATGGTAAAACTGCACGAGTAGAAAAGCAAAGAATTGGGGGAGGGGGGATGGAGGGAGCGTATGCAGTATCCCGGTTGGTACGGCGAGCCAGCAAGCAAACGGTCAGGCTGCGTGAGCCTCGCGAAGCATCGCACGGAGGCGAGGCCGCTTCCGGGTGCCCCCGCCACGTCCTGTCCTTTATCACACTCCCTGGAGGGGAGGGGGGTGTCAGGACTAGACCCGCTAGAAGCGAGCCGAGCCTAATCAAACGGGGCCCTCCGGGGCGCTTTTCTGCCACCGCGGGCCCATTCCGTCCGAGCGAGTCCGCGAACCGAACACAAAGGAGGGAGAGAAAGAGAAAAACCAAAGCGATAAAAGCAACGCGACGAGCGCAGCGATCGCAAAAAAAAAAAATAAAAAGGGCGAGAAACCGAACAAAGAAAACCGGAGCAGCGGTCGCGGTGCGCAACCACTTGTACGCGGCAGCGGAAAGCGCGACCGCGCGCGCGCACAGTGACGCGTCACACACGGACGCACCGCCGGCGGCAGCAACTGCACGCACGCCCCTTCTCTTCCACTTAGCCGTTCTTCAGGGCGGGTGGAGAGGGCAAAAAGTGCCAGGCGAAGTTCCCGGGGAAGCCGAGCAGCGAAATGAGAGAGAGAGAGAGCACGTAGAAGAAAGAGTCAAAGGAGCAAGGAGGACACGTCCCGCGAGCGGTGACAACGGCGAAACAAAAGCGGAGCTCAGCCCCACAATTCCCCCCCCCCCCCCCGCCAATCCTGCAGGCGCGCCGCACGCACAGACGAGAGCAAGCGACGTAAAAATCGGGAGCGCACCACGTCGGCCCGCCGCCGCTCCTTTTCGCGGCAGAAACGGCGCTCGCTCGTCGCAGCAGTCGCGCGGCTGGAGCTGCGCTCGTTTGCGCTCCACAGCGCAAGCAGGAACGGGCACAAAAAAGCATTAGAAAAAGTGCACAGACGACAAGCGGAGTAAATGAGGGAGGCGAGCGTCGAGGCCGACGGCGAGAGGCCTCAACGCGGGCGACGACGCGCGTCTCATTTCAAACGACCCCCACTGCCGTCCAACCCGACGTTCGGGGAAACGCCGCCTGCCACGGCTTTCTTTCCAGACGTTTTTTTTTCTTCTTTTAGACTCTCTCGACATCGAGAAAGGCGCGCGCTCTGGGGCGAAAGAAAAGCGCTCTTTTTTTCTGGAGTGGCGCGAAGCCGACGCGCACGCTCATGCACCGTCGACGCGTAGCGTCAGCTTTCTGGGCCAAAGGAGACGACGTCGCTTGGAATGGCGTTTTTTTTTTTTTTCGAAGCCTTTCTTTTTGGCGGAGTTAAGACGCCGCAGCCACAAATCAGAGGGCAAAAGCGGATGGCGCTGCAGTTTACAAAATGAAACAACGCCTTTAAGATAGAACGAGAAAAAAGAAACACAAAAAGGTGGTAGGCCATCTCAACATATGAAACTTATATATATATATATATATATATATATATATATATATATATATATATATATATATATGAGAGAGAGAAAGCAAGACGTGAAACGACTGGCAACATCATTTACCTAAAAGAACAAAAAACCACACATGGCGTGGTGTTACTCGTCGAAGTGTTCACTCATCTCTAATACACAAGTAAATATATACAAAGAACTACCAAGCACAGCATCGCTTTCAACTTTGTCACACTTCATCAGTCACATCTGCGGTAAAAATTATAAAACTAAATATGTTTTGCGCACTCGTGCACCAAATAGTAGGACACACGTAAAATATATTCCGATAGCAAGTTTCACACACGCGCAAACTGCAAATCGAGACTGATTCGGGGGGGCTTAGGCCGTTCGTCTGGAGCAGCCGGTACCGCTTACGTGCGTCCTCCGCCCCTTCTTTGCAACAGGGGTCATTAAGGACCCTGGCGTAGAAAGATCCCCTCTCGAGGCCAGGAAGCAACCGCCTCGCTGTGGTGACCGTTTTGAGAGCCCCAATTCCGTGAAACTCCACAGCAGAGTATACGCTGAAACAGCGGCACTTCCCCAAGCCTGAAGGAGACCGCGATGCACATGCGGAGGGCCGATGAGACGGTTCTCTTGTGCGTTCGCCGGCGTCCGGGTCTAGCCATGCGCTAATTTCGGCAACACGTTCTCCGCTGCATAGCCTGTACTCTTGCGTGAGATACGATCGATAGCACGTGCTTATGCGGACACGTCCGGCAATGGCAGACACTCGCTCGCCATGACGTCGGACATTTTTGGACAGAGGCGAATGAAATATCGGGACCTGCTGAAGCGCGACTATAGCGTCGCCCAACGCAACGTTCATGTTCGGAAAACAATTCAATTAATGAAATTGAATGATATGTGGGGTTTGACGTCCCAAAAACCACTATATATGAGACACGCCGTAGTGGACGGCTCCTGGAAATTTCGATCAACTGTGGTCTTTGAACAGTGCACCCAAATCTGAATTCGATTATAATGACACAACACGCGAACCTTTTAGCAACGATATGCATCAAACGTAAAATCCAGATCTTGAGTGCCAGGAAAAAATAGAATTTTCTGCCTACTCTTTGTTTGATTTCAAACAATGAACGCTCGTCGCATATGTTGAGTGCATCAAGACAATTTCAATAAATGCCAGCGCGATCATTCCGTAACTATAGCAGTGCGACTGGAACGTACAATATTTACAACGGCTATGATATCTCGAACAATATTCACGTGCAGATTAATCACAAAGTGATACCACAATGCACCTGACGAACTTAAATTTTCCCTTTACTGCGGGCGTGGGAAATATTGAAGTGATTGCGGTTTAGGGTGCAGTGGCAGTTGCGCCGTCGTTCTACGCTGCGACGAACGATCACGTCTCGAAAACGAGACGAGGAAAGCGCGGACTTTCCCGAGCAAGAACACCGCAGCGCGCACTCAGCTGCGCGGGCCCTTTAGCGAGCGACCTTGAGGCGTCGACCACCAGGGTCAACGCAAGCGGCGCTCACGCACGCCACTCCGCGCACGTTCGCTTTCGAAATCACGACGGCTATAGCGTAGCGGCCCGATTAATCGCTGTCCAATCTGGCGTGTTCCGCTGAACGATAAGGCATGAACAGAAATCACTCAACGGCAATCGCATGCCGCTAACGAGGAGAAGTAAAATAAGGTTGTGGCCAACTGACCTCGACTGTCCTCGGCTCCTTGACCCGGTCCTGCTGCGGCGGAGGCGAGGACTTGGCGCGCGCCGTCGCGTCCTTGCATGGCGTCGAAGCCGTCGCCGGGAGGTGGTGGTGGTGATGCGCCGAGCGAGGGGTTTCCTCCTTCACGGGCGACGTGATGCCGAACGCCGAGGCCTCCATGGCCGGCAGCGCCGACGACGGAGGCAGCACATGACCGCCGTTGCTGCTGTGCAGCTGCTGCAGGTACTGCAGGTGCGCCTGGTGCGCATGCGCAATGACTTCCGCTGCCGTAGTGCGCGGCACCGAGGTGACGCTCGAGGGCGCCGCCGTTGTAACCGGCTTGTGGTCCCTGAAGAAGAAGTTCAGCGTCGGTTTCTCGTCGTGCGGCGTGGTCATCTTGCTGTGGTGGTGGTGGTGGTGCTTGCCGTGCAGGCTCGTCGTCGAGGCCGCAGGCAGCGTGGGTTTGCTCAGCAGAAGGGCCCCCGGCGCCGCGGAGGGCTCTGCCGTCTTGGGACTCGTCGCCGGCGGCACCGCCGCAATGAGAGGCGGCGGACTTAGCGGGCTCTTAGCGGCCGGTCGTTTGCCGGCGTCGTTGGTTCCGGCGTGCGAAGTCTTCGCTTCATCCGGCGGCTGCATCGCTTCCAGCCGGGGCATCTTGGCGCGCTCCGGCTCTGGCGGCGGCGGTGGCCGGCCGCCGCTAGACGAGCCGAGCCTGAGAGAGGACGTGAGCCGCGAGCGCTGCTCTTCGTCGATGACAACCACGTCGTTTATGTGATGGTGGTGTGGGTGGTGGTCGGCACTGTTGGAGGCAAAGGCCGAAGAAGAGGATCGCTTGTTCGACGAAGACTTGCTGTGGTGGCTGCCGCTGCTCCGGCTGTTGTTGCGCGAATCGGACGATGATCTATCCGAGGAGCGGGACGATGAGTCCTTCTTCTTCTGCGGGCTCGGCGTCGTCAAGAGCGGCGTCGTCGTTGGCGGCGGGATGATCGGAGGCAGGCCCCATCCGGGGTAGAAAGGAAGGTGCGCGGCGGCGTTGAGGTAGTCCTCCCTCTTCACCGTCTCGCCAAACGCCGAGCTGAGACCGCCGCCAAGCGAGGGCCTAGGTCCCAGGAGGTTGATGGCCGCGGCTGTGGCTGCGGCAGCTGCAGCGGCGGTGGCCGTCGACGAAGAGGTGGCCGACGTAGACGTATCTGTCGTGTGGCGGTTAGAAGAGGATGACTTCTTGTGCTCCCGCGTTGAGGTCGAAGACGAGGTAGAGGAAGTGCTCGTGGTCTGCGCCGAGCCAGACGTGGACGCGAACTTGGCCGACGTCTGACTCTCCTGCAGCCTTTGCATGTGCTCGGCTGCGTAACGCACGGGGTCCGCGATGTAGGAGGTCGCCTTGTCCGCCGCGGAGGCTGACACGCCGTTGGCGCGAGGGTAGGAACCGGCCTTGGCGTCGTCAGCCAGGCGGCACGGGTCTGGTTTGGGCATCATGTCGGCGAACATGGAGGAGTAGCCGGCGGGTAGCGCGGTAGCCGCGGTGGGAGGGTACAGCGACCGGGCTAGGTCTCCTGGCGCAAGGGCGGGCGCGCCCGCGCCGCGCATGCTGAGCGCCAACGCAGCAGCCGGCTCCAGGAAGGCGGCGGTCGAAGGCGCGGCTGCCCGGGCGGTGGCCGCAGAGTGGAAGGCCACCTGCTGGTCCAGGCAGCCCAGCCGGGCGGCGGCCATGGCGTGATGCTGCGCCGCTGCGGCACTCCCAAATGCCTACATTGTGGAAAGAACGTGTGGCGTTTTTACACTTCAGTGAGCACAACTTCAAGTATACAAAATACCTTGATTTTGGGGTAGGCTACCTAGGTTAAAAGGCTTCAGAATGCGAAATTTCCGCTCGCAAGTCTCCATTCTTACAAATGAGCTATGTGGAAGTCATTTAGGATATGAATAACGAAACGTCGGTATTCTTTACTGTAAGCATTTACACGATCTTTCCCATAGACTGCATCGGAATTTCATCATCCGCGCGATCTTGCGGTCACTAGCGCAATCTGAGCTTTTTTCAGTCTGTACGACTACAACAGCTCGTCAAGGGAGTTGGCACAGACGTATCGCACTGGAAGAAAGACCCACCTGTTGCAGGAAGGTGTCGGCGGCGATGCGTTGCTGCTGGTAGTGCTGTAGCCGCAGGAATGCTGCCGGGTCGAGCAGGTGCCGGCCGTAGGCAGCGGCCAGCTTGCGATGCTCGAGGAGCAGAAGCTCCTCGGCGGCTGCGGCCTCAGGCCCGTCGGGCCGCACGTGCTTGAGCGACAGGTCCAGCGGAATCTCGCCTCGCTCCCCGCGAACGCCCGCAGAGCCGGCAAGCGCGGCCGCCGCCGCGGCGGCCGTCACGCCGTCCAGCGGTCCACGACCGTCGAACGGCCGCACCGCCGGAGGGAAGAAGCTCGCGTAGTACATCGCGGTCGCCGTCCTGAGAGAGAGAGAGAACGGCTTGATACGCACAACGGTTTTGTACAATGGCCTTTACGGGGCAACACGTACTATGCCACAGTAGCCGTCGTGGCTGGGAGCGACTGATAACTCTCGAATTCGAATGCACTAGAAATAGCAGATAAAGTGGATAAAAGGACAAAAACCACCGTGGGTTCGGTCTTCGCCGGTGACAAGTTGCCTTCTCGTCTACGCTTAAACATAAAGCTACTATATTACATTAGTAAACATAGAAATAACGCCCCTTATGCCTTCTTTGCCTCCAATGCCAGCTGGTTTGCATGAGGGTCAAAAATCAAATAGCGATACATGCAGCTGTTGAGTTTGCGCTGTGTCCAGTGGACGGGTTTGCCCGAAATTTGGGTTTGCAGAAATGTATAGTATACTACAACGCATGAATATTAATTACACGGAGTCCGTTCCTTAGCACTGTTCTGTTTTTATTGTTTAGTAGTGTGCATATGAATCAAGGAGGCCTTGATAGCGGAGCAGTAGCAAAGTACTAGAAGTAGTATTAGTAGTAGTAGAAGTAGTATATTACTTGCGGCGAGCGATTACAAGCGGATAATCAAAGATTATGTTTTATCACAAAATTTTCTAGAACAACCAATCAATTATCGCCTATTAAAACTGGTGTCGGCTTATTTTCGGGCTTCCTACTCAGCCTTCCGAAGCCACAAGTTCGACTGATACGTAAACGTAAGTTATGAGCCGAGTAGCATTCGTTTCCAAGAAGGCAATGTCGACATGCGTATATATGGACCTTCTCTACGACAATAGAAAGAGCAGCCTACCGAAGAAAGAAAAAAAACAAATTTGCCGGCGGTGCCCGCTGCGAAGTAAAGAAAAAAAAGTTCGCGTTTTCATCTACCCACGCATGGCATTATAAGAAAAGGTCGCCCACTCAAGCCAAACGAATGTGGAGCTGATTGTCTCCGCTTGATGGATAAGCACGCGACCTTCGCTGCAGAAATGTCAAGAAATAGAAAAAAAAACTACATACGCGACGCGGCAGACGTGCTAACTACATGATCGCTATAAGGAGCAAAACGAAACGCTGCCGGCGTCGTAGATGCAACTAACAGTAATTGTAAGATATTTCTCTGGAAACTTGGGCATTCACCGAAGCAGCGTTTGGCCTTCTTTCGTCGTGCTCTTTTCTTAACAAATAGTTCCCCAAAGCTCTAAATTCAATGCCTACAAATGTTGTACGCAGCACGGTTGTGAGGGTGGTCAACCTAGCTTAGAAAAACGACTTCGTCGACTTGATGAGTTGGTCGATTTTCACGAAACATTCTTTCGTAAAAGAACGCAACTTCAACAATAATGCGAAATACGTATACACGAAAATATACAACTCGGAAACTTCAAGAACGCCAAAGCTTGCAAACTAATATAAGAAGTTGTCACACCTGTCCCGTTTATTAGGGAGGCGATCGCCGGGCTAATTCCAAGAGCCGAAGTATCGGCCCCCCGAACCGCACCACGAAAGCGTGGACAATTTAGAAGTGGTCCTTATTGGTGCGCCAGCGGACGCCGGCTGTGGCCCAAAGAACAAGACAGAGCCGAGAGTTGATAAACAAACAAAATTATATTCTCATTAACGGCAGATCAAAACGCAATACACACGTATGCACACTCCACAATAGTTACATACAATACGTCACCAAACAAACAATGTACTACACAGTACAATCAACCACACTTGAAACAACGGACACAGACAACAATACGCACTACAATGCAGTCGCATGCATTGAACAACCAAGACACTTAAAGACCAAAGAGATATAAAACCTATTCAGTCCAAAGTCCTTGGAACAAAAGTCTGAATGATACTCTTCCGAGAATCACTCACTCAAAGTCCAGCGTTGTTGTCGTTCCGCAGCTCTCGAAGTTCTCTTCCAGGAAACCTCGCGTCCTCAAATGGCCACTCTTCAAACTTCAACTTCTTCGCCGGAAATCCGTCGGCTTCACACACGCAGCTGTTGCCCGCGTCTTCGCTCGATAGCGGTAAACCCACGCTCTTGCCTGTAGCTCGAGCCGTCCCTACGGACCCAAAACTTCGCCGACTACACGGCGGACTCTCTACGCACTCTGGCGCTCACTTCCGTCTCCTCCTGTTCTGTCACTACGGGCAGAACCTTCGCCGACTCCACGGCGGAATTCCTACGCGCTCTGGCGTTAACTTCCGTCACCTCCTGATTTCTCGTCTCGGCTGCTCGGTTAAATACCTTGCGCGCGACTTTCCAGATCTTTCTCGTCATTTCGTCGGCGCGATACGCAGCGAAGGCTGGGGAGAGGCGAGACGGTTTGTCTGCCCTCCGCGTCGGATGACTCAGCTCGGTCTGACCCCGCCCCGTTCGTTCGAGAAAAATCGCGGTCTTGCTGGGCCGCCGATGTGGGGTGAGGAGGATCGTCTGCGAAGCCGTGCTTCTGCGGGGAGAGCGCGCGCCCGGGAGCCCTGGATGGTTGCTTTCTTTTTTTTTTTTCCTTTTTACCTCGCGGCGTTTCTGCCGCCCGTTGTCGCAAGTATTTGGCGGCGCGCTCTTGTTTAGCGCTCGTTCTGTGACACTGCCCCCCACTTTAAGAATATTATCTCATAATATTCAAAAACCACACAGACGAGCGCGAACAGTCACCACACATTCTCACAGACTGTAACACAATCCGTCGCTCATGACACTTCACATTCACAATATATCACTCAATACAAACGTACATTGTAGTTCAATTCCACAACACATGAAATATAACCACAGGTACATGCCTACAACACTTCATCACACATTCTAAACAATACAAACGTACAAAGTTCTGTCTATCCAACAATTATACAACACTATACATCACACCATCGCACAGAACACTGACTCACTCGACATACACTTGAGACACAGGATAACAAGAACATTAACTCAACATATGTCACTCAGCCCTGCCAAACACAATCTGATTCCACCTCAGCACCTATCTTGAGTACTTCGAACAGCGCTTGCGCCCCTTTTTGCGGTGCTCGCTCGATCTCTTCTTGTGCTTCCACGTTCTTTTTCGGCGAGCCCTTTCCAAAGACGATATCTGAGGCGTCGTCTCAGCCATCGTTGTCTCTTCCGACACCGTTAACGCGTCATTACATTCGACGGGTCCTGTCTGTTTATTTACCCGCTTGATCATGCCTCTACATCTCGCCCGGCTGGCCAACTCCGTCTCCTTTACACTGTCGGTCGGTTGAGGTCGTGCCGACGTAAGTCCGGTTGCTCGGCCCGCGAACTTATTCGACACGATCGTCTTCTCCTTCGCTGTCTCTTGCGCCGCGGCTTCGCCTTGGGCTCTAGTGAGATCCGTCACGGGATGCTCCTCCACTGTATCTCGCGGCCGCTGTGTTGGCGAGGGCTCTATCTTCGGGTCTTCTCCCAAACATTCTGGATCACTTGGCCCTCGCGCCCCGTCGATGTTTCCGATGACCAGGTCATACAGGGGGGTCGTCATGCATAAAGCAGTAACCTTCCCGGTGAAGTACGGGGTTTCAACCTCAATTTCTGCTTCGGGAAGCATCCGGACCGTACGGTCAATTAGGCAAACCGGTTTCGTTCTGCCTGTCAACTCTCTTTCCCGTACCAAATTTCTCCTCACGATAACCGTGGAGCTACCGGTGTCTCTTAGAACCGTAATCTTCTTGCCTGCAATCTTTCCAAGAAGCGTTGGCATTCCCTTCGTAACACCGGTTGGCTGTTTTGACATTACAGCCCCCACAATAGGAATTTTCTCCCCATTCTTCAACTCTATGAATCCATCAGTGACGGCATTATTATCAGATTTCGGTGCTGCTTGCACACAGGATACCTGGTGAGTTTGACTCACTCCGTTCCGACATGCATCTGCTTTGTGCCCAGTCTGACCACACTTGAAACATTTTACAACCGTAGGGCTCGTAAAGATCGTTCGACAGTTTTTCGCGCGATGACTCACTCGGTTGCACAGAAAACATCGCGGAATGCTCTCTGGTGCACGCTTCTTTTCTTCGGGAGCCAATTTCTTCGAATCGTCGGGACACTACTTCTTGACTTTGGCCAAATTAGTGCCACCTTGCGCTTCCAAGAATTGATCAGCCAATTCAAGCATTCCTTCAAGTGACTCAGCCTTCATCTCTTTCAAATACAGCGACAGGCTTGGGTGGCAACTAGTAAGAAATTGTTCTCTAATTAGGAGCTCTCTAAGCTCATCGTACTCCTGTGCTGTCCCTGAAAGTTCAATCCATCTGTCGAAATAATGACAAAGTCGGGCGGCATACTGCGTAGCCGTCTCCCCATCAGCTGGCTTTCCTGTCCTAAATCTGTCCCGGAATCCTTCCACGGTAAATCTAAATCGCTTCAGCAAAGCAGCTTTCACCTTTGCATAGTTGGCTGCATCGGTCGGCGTCAGCCTACCGTACACACTGAGCGCTTCACCACTCAAGCAAGTACTCAAAGCAGTTGCCCATTGATGTTCTGGCCAATTCTGGCTCTTCGCAATCGTCTCGAAACGGTGAAGGTACGCGTCAAGGTCGTCCTTCCTTTCATCAAACGCCACGAGCAGCTTGCTTGGGTTCAAGCGGAAGCCATGATCTTCCCGTTCGCTGCTTTCAACCCTAGGTTGGACGGGAGTTTCACTTCGCTGTTGCAAACGGAGCCGCTCGAGTTCAATTTCGTGCTGCCGCTGCCGTTCCCTTTCAGCCATCTCCGCTTCTCTTTCTTCTCTCGCTCTTTCGGCTGCCAACTTCTCTCTCTCCAGCTCAGCGGTTTTTTCTTCCTTGGCTCTCTCAGCTGCCAACCTTTCTCTCTCCACCGCCTCTTTCTCCTTCTGGCTTACCCACTTCCGAAGTTCGGCGCCAGAAAGACCCATCTTCTCGCCAAGAGCAACTAACTTTTCGAGATCCATGGTGTCTCGCAACTCTCAAATAAAACCTTGCCGCGTGCAAAAAATATCTGCCTAAATCAGTCT